GAGAGAGAGGGGGGGAGGGAGAGAGAGAGGAGCGAGGGAGGTGAAATGCCAACGAGAGGTGCTGGCGTAATTACGCGACGTAGAGCCCATGAAACGCCAATCAAACGCACGGAGCGTATACACACCAACCCCACACATTGGAGAGCGGACGAGCTCGCTCGACTTTGTCGTGAGGAGGACGAGGCGCCCGCAGTACAGTAATTAGCTCCTCCGGATGCGTGCGGGGGTCCGGTTTTCGGGTAAAGGTTTTTGGGGCCGCTCGCTGCCGCTGCCGAATTGAGCGGGCGAGACTTGATATTTTCCCGAGTGGTGCGTAATGGCCGTGGAGGAGGAGGAGGAGGAGGAGGGGGAGGAGAGAGGAAAGTGAATCAGCACCGAGAGAGACGAACTCACTTTACGTCCCGGGCCGCGCCGGGTCCCGCAGCTCGCCTCAGAGAAATGCTGCTATAAAAGCCCCCTGGCGTCGGGCGCGCGGGTATAAAAGGTGGTGGACAATCACATCTATACAAGTGGCGCGGGCGGGAGAGAGAGAGGGGGGGGGGTTAAGAGACAGGGAGGGGATAGGGAGGGACGGCGCACCTTTTAGAATGCAGTAGTCATCACATTAGAATGAGTTAATGTTTGACTTGCTCACGCTTGCCACCTCCTGGCGCCAGTGGACGCGGTCGTGCCCCTCGCGCAGAGCACACGCTGCTGAGCTGAGAGAAGATTGTGAGCGGGAGAGAGATAGAGAGAGGGGAGCGGAGGGAGGTAGACAGTATCAAGTATCGCACCGTACGGATGATTGCTTAAAATTTCGTTTACAATTTCGTTGGTTGTCAGGCACGGCGAGAAGGCATCGCTGCTTTCACTAACGCCAGTGCGCGGATATGCGTGTGGACGAATGACGGAACACGCGATTACGCGTCGCCCAAGAAGACGGCGGACGGGTGAGTCGCGCGCGCCTTCCGACCCTCGTCGCGCCGTCCGACCGTCGACCCCGTCTCCCTGCGGTCGGCTTGCTGATGACGCAGAAGTGTCACATTCGCTCACTGTAAAAAAAGTTCGGATTTTTGCCATACAAGTGTGTGGGAAAAATCCCATACGCGTGTGGGACGTGAAATTTCCTACACATGTGTAGGATTTTTCCTATACACGAAATAGTGTATAGGGAAAAACCGATACGTATGTGAAAAATCCCACACTTTTGTGGCAAAATGCCTACGAGTGTTTAGGAATAAATTTTCCCATACAAGTGTGGGAATTTTGCTATTTTTATCTTGAAAATTTCCGA